TGTTAAAAAATGGCGTTCTACGTTCTAGCCTCGGCGCCGTAAGCATGGGAGTGGGGGACGCACGTGCCGCGCGCTGCACAAGAGACTTGGGCGACTCGACAGGCCATCGAATGGCGAAACAGCTCCCCAGTCACCTTCGGCCCACCAGCACCTTCCCTTCCCTTATCCTCTCTCCATTTCCTCCCTCCCGCCTCCCCTCTTCCGTATCCTCTATTTCCCTTATCCTTATCCTTCCCATATCCTCTTATCCCTTATCCTCTCCCATCTTTCCTTCCCTTATCCTCTCCCCTTTCCCCCTTCCTTCATCCTCTATTTCCTCCCTCCCGCCTCCCCTCCCCATTTCCGCCCACGTCGGCTCGGCACGCCATGCGTGCGGTGTCCGTCGGCCTTGTCGGGCCAGCAGGGCCTGCGAGCGTTGTCCGTCGGCCCATTCGGGTCGGCAGGGCCTGCGCGCGGTGTCCGTCGGCCTCGTCGGGCCGGCAAGGCCTGCGAGCGGTGTCCGTCGGCCCAGTTGGGTCGGCAGCGGAGTGCGTCGGCCTCGTCGGGCCAGCAAGGCCTGCGAGCGGTGTCTGTCTGGTAGCGCGCTGGTGACGGCTCACCGCGACAGGGGAGGCTGGTAGCGCCCTCGTCGCTGCTCACCGCGGCAGTCTGTTTGTCCTGAGGTGGCCCAACCAGCAGCGCCTGAGACGTTCTCGCAACACTGGGCGCAGAGATGCTGGTTTGGTAGCGCCTGCGTGGCTGCTCTACGCGGCAGTTGGATGGCCTGAGGTGGTCCAGCCAATCTCGTCTGAGACTTCCTAGCAACGGGTTCAGAAGTGCCTGACCTCTCGTGCTCTGGCCGTTTCGCTTACGACATCGTCGCAACTCTAGTCTCGCAAATGTCGAGTCCTGGTATAGTCCGTCACATTCCGCCCTCCAACCTCCCCTTCCCTCGCTCCTCTCCCCCCTCCCCTCCTCATAATTATCCGCTACGTCTGCCGCCTCTTCCAATCATCTCCTGACTGCCTCTTGCCTCCATGCCCCCAGCTCCGCAAATCTTTTTGTCGCGTGCTCCTACCCCGTTCCGTCTCCTCTCCCCTTCCTCCTCCCTTCTCCCGTGCACTCCCTGATCCTCATGGTTCCCTCAGTCCTACCCTGTCCTTGTACCTCCGTGCTCTTCTTCCTGCCTTCCTCCTCATGCATCCTTCTGCCTCCTTTCACGTCCCTCCTGCCTCGCACCTCCCACCTCTGCCCGCCCCCTCCCATCCCCTGCATCCCACGATGCCCCCCGCTTGCTCTTAGCTCCTCATACAACCTCGCAACTCGCACCGCCACCATCATGCCCAGCCCAGCAGCGCTGCTAGCTCAAGCTCCGGAAACCAGAGAGTTATCACATCCTTTGCGCAATCTCTCGCAATGCCCCGTTTTGCGAGTTCCCGCCGCCATGCAGGGCGACGGCTCGAGCGACATCGAGATGGTCGGCTCGCGCGTGGTCGCACGCGGGCGGATCCATGACGCCAGCAGCACCACAGGCGGTGTGGGTATGTGAGTCCTGCGGCACGGCTGTTTGCAACGAGTATCACCCCAATGTATGCCTCGCTTGCTATCCGACGGTCGATAGGGCCAGGCTATCGGGTCGACCTGGCCGAAGCGCAGGAAATGCGCTCGTCGGGCCCAAGGGGTGGGGCCAGGCCGGCAGATGGAATTTACGGGCCCCGTGCACGACTGCCCAGACCCCACGGCCAGGTGCAGCGATGGGCGTGACGGCGTCGACGGGGCGGTGGGAGCGCCCTCCGCGCCGGACCCGGATCAGTCAGTCACCTATTGGGGGGGAGGGGGGGGGCGGCCCCTTCGGCATGCAAGATTTGGACGCTGCGCCACCGGCGGGGGATGCGGCCCCCCTCGCAGCCATCTGCCAACAGCCAGCTTACCACCAACGTCCGCGCGGGCATGTGAGAGCGGAGGCTCAACCCTGCAAAGTGCGCAGGGCCTCCGCAGCCCCGATGCGCAAGCCTGCGGCACCGATGGGGATGACAGCAGTAGGCCTAGCGACATCGTCGCCGCGGGCGGGTCCAGCAACCAGCGGCGCCCTGGTTCCTCTGCGGGCCACCGTCACCAAGGCAACGAGCACCGATTGGGTGACGAAGGAGACGTTCGCAGGCAAATCAGGGCATGGTTATGGCGCGGAGTTTCTTCATACTTGTTGGAAGCTGCACAAGGACGGCATCTTGTATCTCCTTGCAGTCCAGGAGATTATGGCGGTCAGGGAACACTTGGCGGTATCCACCGGCGAGGAAATAAGCGCCGCCGCAATCAGGAAGCTCGATAAGCACGTGCATGATCACGGTCCCCCACGCCAGGCCCAACAAGTTGACGGTCCTCATTGGGGACTGGCACGAGAAGGTCGGCATCAAGTGCCCGAAGCCCGCGGCGACCAAACCGTCCACCGTCGCGAAGAAAGCTGCTGCCGTGAGGAGGAGCTCCGTGAAGAGAGCCACGAAGATGAGCTCAACGAAGAGAGCCGCAGCCAAGAAGCCACCTGCGATGAAGGCGCCGATCAAGAAGGTGCGGCAATTCTTCCTAAAAGAGACGAAGGACAGAGATGCCCCCACGACGCTGGGATGCAAGCGCAAGCCGCCCCGCAACAACCACCACAACTACGAATGGCCCATGGTCGTCACGCCACAGGGGCGCTCGAGCAAGCGGCGCCCAAGGGCAACGGCGTTGCTGCCGAGGCGCTCGAGAGGGCCATCTTCAAGCATCCAAAGGTCGACACCGCCGTATATGATCGCTGCTGCTGTTTCTACAAATCTGGCCAGAGGATCGCCGCGCTCAAGCACAGCCAATATTGGACCGTGGACTGGATGCACGCCGAGAGGCACTCGGCGAGCCTCCCGGGCAACCCGTACCACATCCGCAGGCTGAATCTCAGGCTGACAGGCGTGAACAGCCAGGCGGCGGAGCAAGTTTTCAGCCGAATCAGGGGGTACTTGCGCAACCTGAACGACATGTCGCCTCTGCGGCACAAGCTTGTGGCTCTGTACTTCCGCGAGCTCCACAGCAAGCACATTGCCGAGCGCCGTGCTGACTACCTCCCACCGATGAGGGCCGTCGTGACCAGCGGCATGAGGGTCGGCCACTACGGTTGCGAATCGGGCCCAGAACAGTCGGTAGGTAGGGGAATGTGCGTGTAGTGGATGTTTAACTCATCTCTTCTGGAGATGCCAATGGCCTACATGCAAAAAACACGCCGTGTTGTTTTTGCTTGTTTCCGAGATCGGCGTTTTCATGTTTTGGGAACCTGTTTTTACTCCGTTTTGAGATTGCCGTCTCGCCATTCTCGGTTCATCGTGCGATGAGTTTTCTGACTGTGTAACTGTAACTGCAATTTTTATGTATCCCGTTTCTGACAACTCTTTTCTGTTTTGGGTTGCCGATTTTTGTTCTGTATTGGGTTGCCATTGTTCGCTCGTTCTGGGCCGGGCTGGTGTCGTTTTTGTTCTGCTTAGGTTTGCGCTGTTTTTTTGTAAAAACGCCCCCAGCGTTTACAACTGAGGCCAATGGCAGGCCGGGTATGCGATTGGGCCGGCGGGGGCATGGGAATGAGAAGCTTGTTATCTAGGCGGCTGGGTGGTGGGGGGAGCAGGATTGCTAGGCAGTCCACGGTAAGACGCCGCTGCTGAGTTGATGTGGTTTGAATGTCTCTTGAAAACACTGCGCGCGTGCGTCAGTGCCGCACTTCCAAGTTTGAGTAATCCACTAATCCCGTGTTATAGATGGCCAGGGGAAAAGCCAGGTGTAAATTGCACTGCGTTGTAGATGAGCCTGGTAGGGCGGGCGCACTTGCGCACCGCGGCTGATGTAGTAAGTTTGATCTGTTTGGTAGTGTCTCTGCATCATTTGACCCGTGGTAAAAATACAAGGAGGGGGATGTGGTAGAGGGAGGGAAAGGGAAGGAGGTGGTAGAGGAAGGATAGAGGAGGAGAAAGGAGGACGAGGCGGGCGAGGTGGTAGAGGGAGGAGGGAGGTGGTCGAGGGAGGAGGGAGGAGGAGGAGGAGGGAGAGGAGGAGGTAGTGTGTGTGTGTGTGTGCGTGTGTGTGTTGGGTGATTGGGGGGTGGGGGGCAAACCGAAGAACAAAACACAAGCACAAACCTGTTGCCCCCTTATCAGCATTCCTCCCCAAAACACACAGCGCCACCACCGCCACTGGAATGGGACTGGGGGGGAGCAGAAAGGAGGACGAGGCGGGCGAGGTGGTAGAGGGACGGGGAGGTGGTAGAGGGAGGAGGGAGGAGGAGGAGGGAGAGGAGGAGGAGGAGGAGGAGGAGGAGGAGGAGGGAGAGGAGGAGGGAGAGGAGGAGGAGGAGGAGGAGGAGGAGGAGGGAGGAGGAGGAGGAGAGGCAGCACTCTATCCCTTCGGACCCCCCCCCGGGCCACACGGGCGGCATGGGGGGGGCGCCCTTCCAGGGTCGCCCCCTCTCCCGCCCTTCCTCCCTCGGCCCCATCCCCCCCTCTCCGTCCTTACTCGCTCCCCTCCCCTCCTCTCTCTCGCTCTCTCTCGCTCTCTCTCTCTCTCTCTGTCTCTCGCTCTCTCTCTCTCTCTCTCTCTCTCTCGCTCTCTCTCTTTTTTTTGTTCCTCTCTCTCTCTCTCTCTCTGCCAAGCCGCATACTCCTCAATGGCCCCTCCTCGAATGCTCAGCCCCGGGTGATCGGGACGATTGCACTTACCAGAAACACCGCTCGCTGATTGGTGCATGGAACCGCCACACACCTTGCAAGAGAAGAGGCGGTATGTGTTTGCGCACCAGATCATTGGACACTTGCCTGCTCAATGGAGTGGTCTCGGAGCTGCCAGAGGGGCCCCTTCGGGGTCCGCGAAACCAGGCAGCGCAAGCGGAAGGGGAAGAGCCACCGTAACCCTGAGGGCGAGTCCTGGTGCCACCTACCCACGGAGCGCAAGCCGAGCGGCACCTGTGACCCGCGTGGCAGATCCGTGTGTGTGGTACACGTCGTTCGTTTCTAATCGTGCTCATGTCTAACTGTGCTCGTTTCTGATTGTCCCTGGCCCCCCAGTGGCCAGGAAGAGGGCCAGGATGGAACACTTAGAAATGAAAGGATCTTGGGCCCCCCCCCAAAAAAAATCAAAGAACCCTCGAATACTTGGGCGTGAACAACGAGCAGCTGCCTAGAGGAACACCATCCTTAGATTTGCGCTGGGTGTGAAAAGAGAGCGCCGTCGCCTCGACAGCCGGCACGGGCGGAGGGGGGAGGAGGCGGAGGCAGAGAGAGGGCCGCCCCTGGCCACAGGCCAACCCCCCAAACGGCGTGGCGCCTTCCTCACGGCAGGCCTGAGCGAAGGGAGGCGAGATCTCAACGTCCAGGTACACGCCGTTCATTTCTGATCGTGCTCGTTTCTGATTGTGCTCGTGTCTAACTTTTCCTGGCCCCCTCGTGGCCAGGAAGAGGCCCAGGACAGAACAATCAGAAATGAGAGGATCTTGGCCCCCAAAAAAAATCCAAGAACTTTCAAATAATGAGAAATGAACAACGTGTACCCACCGGTCGGAAGAAGTAGGTAGAAACATGAAGTAGGAAGGCGGAAGAAGTAGATTGCATTCGGGGCCGCCCAAAAAAACAACAGCAACAGCAATTACAAGAAGTAGATTGCAAAATTCCGGGCCCTGTCTCAGCGGCGCGCAGTAGCGCTAGGTCGCTTGGCTCCTCGGATGGCCCCATTCCTTGGCTGGTTTCGGTTGTTCTGGCTTGTTTTCGTTTGTCCGTCGATCGCAGTGGCAGCCTTTCGGTCGCTCGGCCCTTCGGCTGGCCAAATGCGTTGGTTTTGTTTGTTTCTGTTTGTTTTCGCTTGTCCGTCGGCTGCACTGGTCGCCCCAGGCCCGCCCGCGGCCTTTCGGTCGCTCGGCCCCTCGGCTGGCCAAATGCATTGGTTTTGTTTGTTTTTGTTTGTTTTCGCTTGTCCGTCGGCTGCACTGGCCGCCCCAGGCCCGCCCGCAGCCGTTCGGTCGCTCGGCCCCTCGGCTGGCCGAATTCACTGGTTTTGTTTGATTCTGTTTGTTTTCGCTTGTCCGTCGGCTGCACTGGTCGCCCTGCGCACGCCCGCCGCCCCGCGGTCGCTCGGCCCCTCGGCTGGCCCCATTCCTTGGTTTTGTTTGTTTTTGTTTGTGTTCGCTTGTCCGTCGGCTGCACTGGTCGCCCCAGGCCCGCCCGCCGCCCCGCGGTCGCTCGGCCCCTCGGCTGGCCCCATTCCTTGGCGTTCTTTGTTCCTGTTTGTTTTCGCTTGTCCGTCGGCTGCACTGGTCGTCTCAGGCCCGCCCGCCGCCGTTCGGTCGCTCGGCCCCTCAGCTGGCCCAATTCCCTGATGTTGTTTGTTTTTGTTTGTTTTCGCTTGTCCGTCGGCTGCACTGGACGCCCCAGGCTCGCCCGCCGCCTTTCGGTCACTCGGCCCCTCGGCTGGCCCCACTCCCTGGCTTTCTTTGTTTCTGTTTGTTTTCGCTTGTCCGTCGGCTGCACCGGTCGCCTCAGGCTCGCCCGCCGCTCCGCGGTCGCTCGGCCCCTCGGCTGGCCAAATACATTGGTTTTGCTTGTTTTTGTTTGTTTTCGCTTGTCCGTCGGCTGCACTGGTCGCCCCAGGCTCGCCCGCCGCTGTTCTCTCGCTCGGCCCCTCGGCTGGCCCAATTCCCTGATGTTGTTTGTTGTTGTTCGTGTTCGCTTGTCCGTCAGCTGCGTTGGTCGCCCCAGCCTCGCCCGCCACCCCGCGGTCGCTCGGCCCCTCGGCTGGCCCCTTTCCACTGTTTCGTTTGTTTTTGTTTGTTTTCGCTTGTCCGTCGGCTGCGCTGGTCGCCCCAGGCTCGCCCGCCGCCCCGCGGGCGCTCGGCCCCTCGGCTGGCCAAATTCACTGGTTTTGTTTGTTTCTGCTTGTTTTCGCTTGTCCGTCGGCTGCACTGGTCGCCCCAGGTTCGTCCGCCGCCCCGCGGGCGCTCGGCCCATCGGCTGGCCCAATTCATTGGTTTTGTTTGTTTTTTGTTTGTTTTCGCTTGTCCGTCGGCTGCACTGGTCGCCCCAGGCCCGCCCGCCGCCCCGCGGTCGCTCGGCCCCTCGGCTGGCCCCATTCATTGGTCTTGTTTGTTTCGGCTTGTTTTCGCTTGTCCGTCGGCTGCGCTGGTCGCCCCAGGCCCGCCCGCCGCCGTTCGGTCGCTCGGCCCCTCGGCTGGCCCAATTCACTGGTTTTGCTTGTTTTTGTTTGATTTCGCTCGTCCGTCGGCTGCACTGGTCGACCTGCGCACGCCCGCCGCCTTTCGGTCGCTCGGCCCCTCGGCTGGCCCCATTCCCTGGCTTTCTTTGTTTCTATTTGTTTTCGCTTGTCCGTCGGCTGCAGTGGTCGCCTCAAACTCGCCCGCCGCCCCGCGGTCGCTCGGCCCCTCGGCCGGCCAAATGCATTGGTTGCGTTTGCTGTTGTTTGTTTTCGCTTGTCCGTCGGCTGCGCTGGTCGCCCCAGGCCCGACCGCCGCCGTTCGGTCGCTCGGCCCCTCGGCTGGCCCAATTCACTGGTTTTGTTTGTTTTTGTTTGATTTCGCTTGTCCGTCGGCTGCACTGGTCGCCCTGCGCACACCCGCCGCCTTTCGGGCGCTCGGCCCCCCGGCTGGCCCCATTCCCTGGCTTTCTTTGTTTCTGTTTGTTTTCGCTTGTCCGTCGGCTGCACTGGTCGCCTCAAGCTCGCCCGCCGCCCCGCGGTCGCTCGCCCCCTCGGCTGGCCAAATGCATTGGTTTTGTTTGTTTTTGTTTGTTTTCGCTTGTCCATCGGCTGCACTGGTCGCCCCAGGCTCGCCCGCCGCCCCGCGGTCGCTCGGCCCCTCGGCTGGCCAAATGCATTGGTTTTGTTTGTTGTTGCTTGTTTTCGCTTGTCCGTCGGCTGCGCTGGTCGCCCCAGGCCCGCCCGCCGCCGTTCGGTCGCTCGGCCCCTCGGCTGGCCCAATTCACTGGTTTTGTTTGTATTTTGTTTGTTTTCGCTTGTCTGTCGGCTGCGCTGGTCGACCTGCGCACGCCCGCCGCCTTTCGGTCGCTCGGCCCCTCGGCTGGCCCCATTCCTTGGCTTTCTTTGTTTCTGTTTGTTTTTCGCTTGTCCGTCGGCTGCACTGGTCGCCTCGGGCCCGCCCGCCGCCCCGCGGTCGCTCGGCCCCTCGGCTGGCCAAATGCATTGGTTTTGTTTGTTTTTGTTTGTTTTCGCCTGTCCGTCGGCTGCCCTGGTCGCCCCGGGCCCGCCCGCCGCCGTTCGGTCGCTCGGCCCCTCGGCTGGCCCAATTCATTGGTTTCGTTTGTTTTTGTTTGATTCCTGTCCGTCGGCTGCACTGGTCGCCCTGCGCGCGCCCGCTGCCTTTCGGTCGCTCGGCCCCTCGGCTGGCCCCACTCCCTGGCTTTCTTTGTTTCTGTTCGTTTTCGCTTATCCGTCGGCTGCACTGGTCGCCCCAGGCTCGCCCGCCGCCCCGCGGCAGCTCGGCCCTTCGGCGGGCCCCATCCATGGTTTTGTTTATTTTTGTTTGTTTTTGCTTGTCCGTCGGCTGCGCTGGTCGCCCCAGGCTCGCCCGCCGCCCCGCGGTCGCTCGGCCCCTCGGCTGGCCCAATTCACTGGTTTTGCTTGTTTTTGTTTGATTTCGCTTGTCCGTCGGCTGCACTGGTCGCCCTGCGCACGCCCGCCGCCTTTCGGTCGCTCGGCCCCTCGGCTGGCCCCATTCCCTGGCTTTCTTTGTTTCTGTTTGTTTGCGCTTGTCCGTCGGCTGCAGCGGTCGCCTCAAGCTCGCCCGCCGCCCCGCGGTCGCTCGACCCCTCGGCCGGCCAAATGCATTGGTTTTGTTGGTTGTTGCTTGTTTTCGCTTGTCCGTCGGCTGCACTGGTCGCCCCAGGCCCAACCGCCGCCGTTCGGTCGCTCGGCCCCTCGGCTGGCCCAATTCACTGGCTTTGTTTGTTTTTGTTTGTGTTCGCTTGTCTGTCGGCTGCGCTGGTCGCCCTGCGCGCGCCCGCCGCCGTTCGGTCGCTCGGCCCCTCGGCTGGCCCAATTCACTGGCTTTGTTTGTTTTTGTTTGTGTTCGCTTGTCCGTCGGCTGCACTGGTCGCCTCAAGCTCGCCCGCCGCCCCGCGGTCGCTCGCCCCCTCGGCTGGCCAAATGCATGGGTTTTGTTTGTTTTTTTGTTTGTTTTCGCTTGTCCGTCGGCTGCACTGGTCGCCCCAGACCCGCCCGCCGCCGCTCGGTCGCTCGGCCCCTCGGCTGGCCCAATTCACTGGTTTTGTTTGTTGTTGTTTGTTTGTTTTCGCTTGTCCGTCGGCTGCGCTGGTCGCCCTGCGCGCGCCCGCCGCCTTTCGGTCGCTCGGCCCCTCGGCTGGCCCCTTTCCTTGGCTTTCTTCGTTTCTGTTTGTTTTCGCTTGTCCGTCGGCTGCGCTGGTCGCCCCAGGCTCGCCCGCCGCCCCGCGGTCGCTCGGCCCCTCGGCTGGCCAAATGCATTGGTTGTGTTTGTTTTTGTTTGTTTTCGCTTGTCCGTCGGCTGCACTGGTCGCCCCGAGCCCGCCCGCCGCCGTTCGGTCGCTCGGCCCCTCGGCTGGCCCAATTCACTGGTTTTGTTTGTGCTTTGTTTGTTTTCGCTTGTCTGTCGGCTGCACTGGTCGCCCTGCGCGCGCCCGCCGCCTTTCGGTCGCTCGGCCCTTCGGCTGGCCCCATTCCTTGGCTTTCTTTGTTTCTGTTTGTTTTCGCTTGTCCGTCGGCTGCTCTGGTCGCCTCGGGCTCGCCCGCCGCCCCGCGGTCGCTCGGCCCCTCGGCTGGCCAAATGCATTGGTTTTGTTTGTTTTTGTTTGTTTTCGCTTGTCCGTCGGCTGCACTGGTCGCCCCAGGCCCGCCCGCCGCCGTTCGGTCGCTCGGCCCCTCGGCTGGCCCCACTCCCTGGCATGATTTGTTTCTGTTTGTTTTCGCTTGTCCGTCGGCTGCACTGGTCGCCTCAGGCTCGCCCGCCGCGCCGCGGTCGCTCGGCCCCTCGGCTGGCCAAATGCACTGGTTTTGTTTGCTTTTGTTTGTTTTCGCTTGTCCGTCGGCTGCACTGGTCGCCCAGGCCCGCCCGCCGCCGTTCGGTCGCTCGGCCGCTCGGCCCTCGGCTGGCCCAATTCACTGGTTTTGTTTGTTTTTGTTTGTTTTCGCTTGTCCGTCGGCTGCGCTGGCCGCCCTGCGCGCGCCCGCCGCCTTTCGGTCGCTCGGCCCCTCGGCCGGCACCATTCCCTGGCTTTCTTTGTTTCTCTTTGT